ATATGTTTCCAGTTGTTATTTTTTGCTGACAGTATTTGCTTTTAATTATTTTATTATAGTCTTTAAAATGTCAGAATTTGAACAAAACTTTACATTTTGGTCTGTTTTTTATCAAAATTATTTTAAACATTAGATGTTATGGTCAGTTAGTCAGGACTTGACTAGACTTTCAGAGTACTCCACCCCACCTCTGAAAGCTCTGACCAATGTGCAGGATGTGAGAATAAGAGGAAGCAATCATGGTCTCTTTTACTTATGGGTTGGTCATCAGTATTTCAAAATCACCAAATTTTTATGACATCTTTTCTATTTCTAGAAATGTGATTACTTGGAATCAAGAAGATTCCAAGAAGACTGTAATTTACTATGACTCAGTGAAGCCTTGAGTAATGAAGCAACAACCCTCTCTGTATGGCTGCTCACTGTCACACAACTAGAAAAACCTTTTTTTTTTTTTTTATAATTTTTCCCATGTTTTCCTTAAAATGAAAGTAATTGCAATACGCTAAGAGTAGCAGGCTAGTTACTAAAGCAGCTATAGCTGCTATCTAGACCAATAGGAAATTTGAAAAGCAATTTTCTAATTGCAAATTTTAAGTTTAATTAATAAAGGTGAATTGCAAACTGCATTAAGTAATGCATTATTAGATAGTGGATTTTTAAAATGCATTTTCGAATCCTATCCCTAAATAAAAAAAAATTTAAAAAACAAAATTATCTCATTTCCATTTTCTTTGTCAACTTGCCTTTTCAAATCCTTCTTGAAATACCTTTTTCTTTATGCATTATCACTTCAATTTACCGTGACCCTTCTGATCCCAGAAGTGGACTTCGAAATTACATTTAATAATGTAGTAATAAATACAATTCACGATTCCTCTTTAAGAATTACATTTAAAATGTGCAATTAGAAAATGCTTTTCAAACTGGATTTCAGATTGCATGATTTAAATGTTAAACTTGAAATAGCTTGTTTTCTCTTTCAGTGACTAAAACCTCAATAGACCAATAACTAGATAAAATAACTTGCTTGGATATGTACTTCATTGGAAAGAGCAGAACTGTACATGGAAACTGTTGCTATATTTAGCTGTCATTTATTTTCCATTTTTTGTCTTAAAGCTTCAGCTGTGGTAAAGATGAATGTATCACTTCCTATTATGCTTGTTGCATGTTCTATAATCTGGAGATTGTGAATTGCTTTCCATGGGTTAACATAACCTTTAAGCACATGTTGGTGTTTGTGCAGTTGTGTGATTGAAACAGTAAGATTTTAAAGCAGTGAGAGTTTCACACCAGCCTCTGCCTGGTCTCCTCAATCATATTGAGCCAATCTTTACATTTTTTGTGAATACAAACCAGATTTATTAGACATAATTGGCTTCTAATTTTTATATGAACCCTTGTCTCACCTGCGGCTGCAACGGAGCGAACCCAGAAAACTCGTCTTGTGGAATAACAGAAGCAACAACCTGAGGATTTATTAAACAGCAGGGTTTAGATATCACTTTTGAACATAATAGAATTATTTTCTTTCAATTTAATGGCAACAGAGACCTTATTATTTTAACACAAGTTAATCAAACATAAATAAAAAAAAGCAGAAGTAGCTGACTTTTCTGTTTGTAACTCATCCATGTGATGATACCTTTGCTTTTCCCAGGTAGTCCTTCTTCTCCAGCTCTGCTACGTAGTGCTTGTTTGGTTTAAACAGTATTTTTGATGGGAACTCGACTAGTTTGAAAAGCTTTTGTTTCTGAAAATAAAGGAGAGCAATTGAAAATAGTCCACGAGCATCAGGAATATGCGGCTGCACATGCGGTCTAGTACATTTGAAAAGACTAAAGACGAGTAGTTTGTGACTGTAACAGTGATAACTGTGGACTGACCAGAGTCGCCTGCAGAGCTTTGTCGATGATACTGAGCTTGGCCTCTGTTTTGTAGTCCAGGGCCTTCGCCAGGTTTTCTTGGGCTTCTTCCCAGTTACCCAAATGAGCCTCAGCCAGAGCTATGTTGTGGAGAACCTGTGAAATCAAATATCAATGTCCGCCCACTAAGTCACTTGTCCCTTTTTTTTATAGTTTAAAGCTCTTTTTTGGGGAAGCATATCAGATCATTGGTTTCTAAAACCATCTTTATCAGCTTTTTTTTGTCACATTACTAACAATAAATGGACTTGTTTTGTATATTGATATTGGATAATATAGACCAACATGATTGACCAACATGAAGTTGTTAATCTTACAAATGACAGTTTGCCTCTTCCAGCTTAGTACATTATGACCGTCCTGTATTATAACCCCACTAATATTATATAGTATATATAATCCATATCCGAACTTCCCTGTATAATCTGTATCTGTAGCCTCTTACTATTACTCTCTGTTCATAGCCGATGCATACGTAGACTCTATGCACAAGTAAATAAATATGTATATCCTGCATAGCACTTTTGGATAGATGCAAACTATTTCGTTACCTTCTGACAATGTAATGACGATTAAGTCAAATTATTTTCTATTCTATTCTTCTTGTTAAAATAGCCTTAGCTCAGTCAGATTGGAAAGAATGTCTATGGACGGCTTTTTCATCCATCGCAACATATTTTGTTTTAGATTTTGGTTGGCATACACAGATATACTTTTATCTAATTAATTACATTATTACTGGTTTTTAGTTCCCTAAATGTGTCGACTGATTTTTCAACCTAAGCTCCCCAAAGGTTTATCAATGGCTTCTCATGTGCTTGTCTGGTTAATGGTCTTGCCAAACATGTGCATGTATGTGGATGGCCATGAATTCCAAAAAGAGAAACTGAGCAGAGCTGCTGCGATCATTACTCTGGGAAAGAGAGGAGAACCTTTTGGGATAAGATGGTGTTTAACTTCTAGGAACCATCATGGATTTTTGCTCTAGTTCTTTTACTTCTTTTCTTTCTCTCAGATGGAGGGATATCAGTCTCCTCTTCAACAGCTTTTCTATCTGCATAGGAAGGAGACTAAAGCTGGAAGGCTGTAGGTTTGTGGTATAGCCTCGACATCTTGGTGGTTTCTCTCTCTCTAGAATCTCAAACAGTGCAACAAGTCATCCGGTTGGATAAGCTGAATTTCCGTATAAATAGAATCCAGCTCAGAGGCAGATGATGATGCAAAGTGTTTCACAGCCTCGTCAGTCCCAAACTCCTCTATTATTCAGCATTAGTTGGCTCACAATTACCCAACAAGATGTCATCAGGAGGTTATCAGTAACGAAGGGAGGGTTTGCATCAATATTTGTTCCTCTCACATCATGTAATCAAGTTTAACATGCAACTCTATCATTTATCTTTAAGCACCCTTTTCATTTTTAGGATGATGACGGCTCCAAAAACACTGGAGCTCCTTATTCTAATCTTCAGGTTCTGAATTGGGGATTTGAAGCCCATTTTAAAAAGATTAATGATCCAAAGATTAATTACCAACCATTTTATAGCCTTTATTCTAGGTTTTAAATGACTATTTTCTTTTAACAAATACTTGGATATCTATTAATAAGTGTATAACTATACAGATTTTGATCATTAGGTTCAGAAACATCTAAGATTAAAAGAACTTTATATGTAGATTATAACTAGTTCTTGAATACTGGATGCCTGTCTTCTGGAAATAAGCTGGGCTCCAGTAATTTCTGTTTGACAAGAGTTGAGTTGCATCTAGAAAACTGCTTACCTCGCATGCATATAGGATGTATCTGAGCCCGAGTGCCTTGTAATCTATCAGCTGGTTGTTTCTGAGTGCTTTGAAAGCTCTCTGAAAATCAGCTGAGCTCTCCTCGTACCTTAAGACAAAGTGAGCAAGTCCATTAGACATGATAGTTGACAGCTAAATCTATAATTGGTGCTCAGCATTAAAAAAAACAAACTGTGCATAAATAAAACAGCAGGAAAGAGGGCCTTTCATTGAGAAAAGTTGAGTTACTTGCCTCTTTTTTTTGAAGAAGGTTATTCCTCTTTGAAAAAAGGCAACTGCCAAATGCTCATCCTTACGTATGCTGCAATCAAACGCCTGAGAAACAACAGAAAACACTATAACTTCCTCTATAAGAACAGAAGAATGGGGAACTACTTCTTCTTTCGGGGTGACTTGCACTTTCAGACACCAGTCTATGTGTTTGTTTCATCTCACAGGTGCACCAGCTGAATCTGGAGGATTTTACTGCCTCATGTGAGCAACGCTGTGAAAAAAAACGTGTTGTGCTGGAGAGAAATGGTCGACATTTCTAACAGACGTACCTTTTCTGCAGCATCCAGGTCTTGATTGAGAAGATGGAGGCAGCCGATGTCAAAACAAATTTTGGAGTTTGGTTGTTGAATGGACAGGAAGATGCTGAGAGCCTCTGACCAGTCCTGCTTGTCAGCACAGGTCACAGCCTCATCCCACTGCCGCAGAGTGTCCACGAAAGACATGTTCGCTGGCTGCAAGCACACTGAGACCGAATTAGGGAAGCTCTTTGATTTGTACCAGTGAGATCAGGAAGTGTGATGACATGTTAGTGTTGAGTATTTTCCTGCACCACAACTAGTCAAAGAATTGCTTCTATATTAAGAGCATTTATAAAAGGAGTTAAATCCAGAGCAAAATCAATATTATTTGGGTTCCTATGACAAATTTGATTGAAGACCCTTCCAACCACCACAGCAGCACCGAGTGCTGTTTTAAATTGTCCACATATTATTATTATTATTGCAAATGAATTTACTGAGAGAGTAATGTTGATATCAGTATGATATGTTAGGACAGTGTTCTTCTCTGGCAGTCATGTCCCGGGAACAGATACTGTCCCAGCAACATTGAAAAGAAATCCGAATGCATTATATATTTATTTGTTAATCTTATAAAGCTAATAATAATATGTTCTTCTGAGTAACAGATTTATTCGATTTTTATTTAAATTTCCTTTAGCTATATATGTATATATATATATATATATATATATATATATATATATATATATATATATATGGGATGTATATAAATATGTATATAAAAATACATATATATATATATATGTATGAGATGTATTCGCATGTTGACGCAGGATGAAGCTGCTACTTCAATGTCCCACTCAAGGTGATTAAACTCAGCGGGGCCCATGCTTTAAAAATCCATTATTCCCAAGTAGATCAGTAAATCTCCTTATCTTTTTAATTATACGCTACTGTGCCAAACTTTACTGCATAAAATACAACATCTGGTTTATACCTTTCAAAGTAAATCACTTGAAAACAACCAGAGGTCATATTTAAGAAAATACGCTTCGCTCCAGTGTGATAGAGAATATAATATAAATTTTTTAGATATTCTTATTGTATATAATTTTTTCAAACAGTAAAAACTATTTTCTTTCTTTAGATTTAAATAAGCCCTCATCTTATTCTGAAAGAGTAGATACTCTGTTCCGCTAGCCAGTCGTCAGCTAAACAAACATGGCTCTGCTACTTTTTCGGACAACGGACCTTTATGATACGTAGGCAAACAGAAAAAAGGGAAAACATGCAACAGATAAAACGCGAAATGTTAGTTGTTATATGACACTATATCGTAAGAAAGGCGGTATATTTGCTTTGTTTTTCCCACAGAGCCTCTCCGTAGCCGTGTTTACATGCAGCTAGCTCCACAGTTGGCTAATGGAAGCTAGCTGTAGCAAAATGGACCTTGGAACAATGTTGTACAACAATCTAAAAGATGTTACATGGAGCACCACATCCTTACCTTTAGACCAGCTGGTCAGTGCATATAAGCTGCCACAGATTGTCAGGCTGGATAACGGTGAGTAGCCTTGAGACTTTTCAAGCTATTATCTTTGCGCTTGTTAGCAACAAATTATTATGCTTTATACTTATTGCCAGACTTAGTTGTTTACAACCCATTTTTTTTTAGACATTTTTTGTTTAATTATTCTAAAATAGGCAGCTAGTTGACAGGTAACAATATAATAACACAGGATATTTATCTTAATGTGAAGGATACAATTGTTCTGCTGTATATTTATCCACATAATTAAAGCTAACTTGTGTTAAAGCTAGTTATTTCAGGAATAATGTTGATGGATTACACAAAATGCAACTTAGGCTTCTATTTTAACTTTGTTTCAGTACAGAAACCTTTTTTCTCAACAGGGCAATTTGAATCATATGAGTTTATTGTTTTTTTTAGGGGTAAGTTGTCTGCTCTGAAGATCTGTTACTTTTTAATTTGTGCAGGTCAGTTGGTGGAAGGGCTTCGAGACAATGACTACCTCTTGATTCATTCCTGCCGTCAGTGGACAACTATTACTGCTCACAGCCTGGAGGAGGGACACTACGTTATTGGGCCCAAAATAGAGATCCCTGTTCATTATGAAGGTAAGCTCCAACTAAATCCATGTTTGCATAATGGATCCATGTAGGTTAACTTATTCATATTAACAGTTTGTTATAAGGGTGTAAATCATATGCATCAACGATTTGACTATTTTCAATACTCAAGAAAACGCCACGATTTGATTAATTGGTTTTTTTTTTTTTTTAAGCCTTACAAATGTGAAATAAATCAATGAAAGCTGTAATATCGTTATAGTAACAGAAATTGCAAAGTTGTTCCTTGAGCAAATGGATAAAAAGAGACCGGAGGGAATCATGAATCCATACTCTTGCGGACGTGTCGATGCATTGGATCGTCGCCTGTTGGATCGATTCATCGATACAAACGATTGTTATCTACACCCCTAGTTTAGACCCACCAGAAACTATTTGGTCTTTATCTGCATCAATGTAATAACTTTTTTAGAGAAAAAAATGCTCTCACATACTTGAAATAGAAATGCAAAATTTTTCACTTTCTTTCTTTTACCCCATTATAATTTTGGTCTAAAATATCTTTGCAATTCAGTATCTTTGTCATCACTATCTATGCCCGATTTCAACATTAAGTCAATCCAAGTGAGCTTAAAACGCTTTAAAATGCAAACTAAAGACCTTCCTTTAAAAGTTGCTTTGTTTTACACACTGATAATTTGAGGACAGTGGTAATATGAAATTATTGTACAACTTCATTGTTATCGGTAACTAAGTACTTTTGAGAATTGTTGGACAAAATGTGTAAAGAAATGCTCAACTTGCATGTTTTAATTTCTGCTTAATGATTAGTAGTGTTGTGCTGATGCCATTTTTTTGGCCCCGATACCAGATACCTGGCTAATAATACTGTGCAGTATTGGCCGATACCGATGCTATCTGTCTGAAATTGATGTGTGCGTGTATATATGAAGAACTGCATACTACTTGGATGTAAAATAATCACCATCATGGTTTTTTCAGGTTGCTGCCTACCTTTGTGAAGCAGGAAAAAGACTAGGGATGCACGATATAATCGGCCCCCTATCGGTATCGGCCTTAAAACTGAATATCGGACATCGGCCACCCCTCAAATATTTAACCCGATATTTGATCAGCTTCTGAGTTTCTAAAGTTTAAAAAAAAAATAAAAAATACTACTTCTTCTTCTTCCTCAAAAACTTCTTTTTTACAGGCTTAAAAACTTCTAAAGGTGAGGGAAAAAATATTGATACATTAAAATATCACAATATCTTCATATGCTGATATATTGCCATTTAAAAACACCATATCAATCTC